AGTAAATGTACTTAGTTATTTTCCAAAACTACTGTGTTGTTGGTGTGGACTGTAATATAAAAAGGTGTTTCTGTGAAAAATGACCTGGGAGAACTGGGAGATCCTTTGTCAGGAGCCTTACATATATAAGCTTTAGCTGTACTTTAGTATTTTGTCAGCATTGTACAGTAGCTGAATAAACCTTTGTGAAGTTAGGCCTACATTGCACTACCTGCAGTAATTTTTACAGTGCCTTGCGAAAGTATTCGGCCCCCTTGAACTTTGCGACCTTTTGCCACATTTCAGGCTTCAAACATAAAGATATAAAACTGTAATTTTTTGTGAAGAATCAACAACAAGTGGGACACAATCATGAAGTGGAACGAAATTTATTGGATATTTCAAACTTTTTTAACAAATAAAAAACTGAATAATTGGGCGTGCAAAATTATTCAGCCCCTTTACTTTCAGTGCAGCAAACTCTCTCCAGAAGTTCAGTGAGGATCTCTGAATGATCCAATGTTGACCTAAATGACTAATGATGATAAATAGAATCCACCTGTGTGTAATCAAGTCTCCGTATAAATGCACCTGCACTGTGATAGTCTCAGAGGTCTGTTTAAAGCGCAGAGAGCATCATGAAGAACAAGGAACACACCAGGCAGGTCCGAGATACTGTTGTGGAGAAGTTTAAAGCCGGATTTGGATACAAAAAGATTTCCCAAGCTTTAAACATCCCAAGGAGCACTGTGCAAGTGATAATATTGAAATGGAAGGAGTATCAGACCACTGCAAATCTACCAAGACCTGGCCGTCCCTCTAAACTTTCAGCTCATACAAGGAGAAGACTGATCAGAGATGCAGCCAAGAGGCCCATGATCACTCTGGATGAACTGCAGAGATCTACAGCTGAGGTGGGAGACTCTGTCCATAGGACAACAATCAGTCGTATACTGCACAAATCTGGCCTTTATGGAAGAGTGGCAAGAAGAAAGCCATTTCTTAAAGATATCCATAAAAAGTGTTGTTTAAAGTTTGCCACAAGCCACCTGGGAGACACACCAAACATGTGGAAGAAGGTGCTCTGGTCAGATGAAACCAAAATCGAACTTTTTGGCAACAATGCAAAACGTTATGTTTGGCGTAAAAGCAACACAGCTCATCACCCTGAACACACTATCCCCACTGTCAAACATGGTGGTGGCAGCATCATGGTTTGGGCCTGCTTTTCTTTAGCAGGGACAGGGAAGATGGTTAAACTTGATGGGAAGATGGATGGAGCCAAATACAGGACCATTCTGGAAGGCAACCTGATGGAGTCTGCAAAAGACCTGAGACTGGGACGGAGATTTGTCTTCCAACAAGACAATGATCCAAAACATAAAGCAAAATCTACATTGGAATGGTTCACAAATAAACATATCCAGGTGTTAGAATGGCCAAGTCAAAGTCCAGACCTGAATCCAATCGAGAATCTGTGGACAGAACTGAAAACTGCTGTTCACAAATGCTCTCCATCCAACCTCACTGAGCTCGAGCTGTTTTGCAAGGAGGCATGGGCAAAAATTTCAGTCTCTCGATGTGCAAAACTGATAGAGACATACCCCAAGCGATTTACAGCTGTAATCGCAGCAAAAGGTGGCGCTACAACGTATTAACTTAAGGGGGTTGAATAATTTTGCACGCCCAATTTTTCAGTTTTTTATTTGTTAAAAAAGTTTGAAATATCCAATAAATTTCGTTCCACTTCATGATTGTGTCCCACTTGTTGTTGATTCTTCACAAAAAATTACAGTTTTATATCTTTATGTTTGAAGCCTGAAATGTGGCAAAAGGTCGCAAAGTTCAAGGGGGCCGAATACTTTCGCAAGGCACTGTATTATGTTCCCTATTTATTGTATTGCTTCCAAATAGGGTTTAGTCAATTTTATGGTGTGAACAGTGTGTGAATGGGTTTATGCACAGGGAGGCAAGGCCCTCTTATATTTGGTTGATTAATTGATTTGTGGTGTTTATTTAATGGTGCCTTTTAACCTGTTGACTCTGACCATTTTATTCCTGTTCTGCACTGTATTTATTGAGTGGGGGGAAACTTCTTATAGGTAGCATTTTAGCTTTTGGGGTTAGGTTTCTTAAAACATTTTCATTGTTAAATTATACTTTGACTCAAAGTTTTATCTGTGTGAGTAACTCCAGCATCTCCGTATCTGGGGGTAGCAGCTCAGTACTGGGGAAGTTTGCATGAGTTTGACCACTGAAAATAGGAGGGGTGTTATTCTTGGGGAACTACTTAGAGTTACTATGGTCTGAGTTGCCTAGGCCTGTATATTGGCCCGGTCACACCCATAAAGAGCAACGGTCAGCAGAAGCTGTTACATGAACGATTTCCACACTGAGCTTTGCTAACAAGATTGTAAGTGTCACTGGCACTGCGCGGCGGCTCCAGATGAACATCTGAAGAAATTATATTCTGAACCTTTGTGGTGTGTTTTTATTTAAATTAATTTCATTGAAATGCACATTCTCTTGCACTCATACCTTGTGTATATATATCAAGTGATTTCACAGACAGTCCAAGCCAAAGACCAAAAATCTTTGCTGTTAGGCACAATTCAACCCTGCTTTGCTTTTGCGTAGATTTTACATTTAATACTGTAACTGAAATACCTAACTTTGGTTCATCTGTTTTGTTTTAATAATGGCGCATCTCCCTGCTCACATAATCTAAAACAAAGTTGTTTTTACAGTGTAAACACTAAAGGATTGCATTTGTTCAGTTATGACTACCTTAAAATGGGACTTTTCACAGATGTGAGGGAGTACTACTGCATATGTAAGAAAAAAACTATTTACTGGAGACACAATCACTTAAAGCTGAGGACTACAAGCCCACAATTGCAAAAAGTTAAAATGCAATGAGCTCATCAGATACAGTATCTGCAGCCCAATCCTCATCTCTGCCACAGGCTAGAGGCTCTGCATGACACTGGTGTTGCACACCTGAATCATTGCCTGGCTTGTTGATAATCAAACTGCACTGTGGGTAATGCAGGTGGCAGCTTTTGATAAAGAAAAACGACCCATAGAATAAATATAAGTTTTAGCTGTGGTTCTGCTGCACCGATTTTAATCATTGTTTCAAAGCTGTCCATTGTGAGTTTGACAGTGTTACAGGAGTGTAATGCTAAATCAGTGGAGTACTCTTTAACCTCCCTGTAACCATAGCACTTGGACAGCATTTCCCTATAAAGCCTTTTTGTGGTGACAAAATCCTGCAAAAAAATCTAAGAAATTAAAAAGGAAACCAGGAATGAAGTGAAAACAAAAAAAAAAAAGATGCAAATGTCTTGAAAACAATTCAGCATTCAGCGCAACAGCATTTCAACAGCTAAATATTTCTGAGCTTTAATTTATGGACAAAGTGTAGACAATTCTATGGACTCTGTTTATTGGCAACAAAGAAGAAGGTAAAAATAAATACATCTATAACAGGAAAAAAAATCAACTTCTGTAGTGATAGTTCACATACAGCACATTACCAGTGAATTTACTCATCTCAAACATATAAAGGAGCCATGCGAAACAAATGGGCTGGGCAAGAAAGTGTAAATACAGGTTAAAACATCTTTGTTGGCTAATCAATGGAGCATTCAAATGAAGAAAGCCATTTACAGTGATAGAACTGATTGACATTCTTTCAACCCTTTGCTTTCATTGTGTGTTATTCCTTAACAAGTACTATGTTCAATATTGTATAGTAAAATAAAAAAGCAGTCCATTTAGATGGCACAGGAACAAAAATATAACAAGGGTTACATCAAGGACTCCATTTTACCTTTTTTTTTTTACATTTAAAGAACCTGTCAAATTCTGGCATTTATACTGGATTTATACTCTACTGAGGGTATGGCAAGCTTAAAAAAAATCATCTTTATACATGGGAATGTGTACAGGCCAGAAAAATAAACACACAAATGGACCTGGATGACTTGTCTACCAAAGTATAAGATTCAACAACTTCTTCCCCAAATAAATTCAGGAAAAAAAATTGCACATTTATTTCCATAGCAAATACTATTACAAAGACTCTAGTCAATAATATCCCACACAAGAAGTCCGTTTCAGTATCACACAATGCCAAATCATAGGCAAAAATGTACATCTTCAGCTCTTATTAACCAATGTGTCGAATCTTCAGAGTACACACTTTTATGTAGAAAACTCTTCTTGCTTTTTTCCTTCTTTTATACGGAGTAATTAAAGAAAGATTAAGGCAAGATGCATCAAACAGAAATCAGAAGGCCTTAGACCAGCCTCTGCAGGTGTTCTGATTCCACTGACTATGCATCAGAAAAAGGTGCAGCCAGTGGCTCCCACTTGCTCTCTGTCTCAGGCATCTTGCACTAGCGGGAGGGGAAGAGGCGGGGGTGGAGGGTGGGGTGGGGGTGCAAGAGGTGTCCACTACCACCCCCCACCCCCCAATCCCCCGCTTTGTGTCTGCCAGAACACTCCTCTTTGGCACTTAGGCTGGCAGACTCAGCTTCTTTCCTTTCAGTACTGAAATGAGACGAGGACAGGTTTACATGAAACAACAGGCCATAAGACAGATGCACAGCAATTATAACACCAAAATAAAATACTGATGGACCTCTCGGTTCCATGAACTTTATTTATTGTTTCATATTAATATTTGCATTTAACTTCATCAAAATGAACATTTTTTCTTAGCCATTATATAGCAACTTATGCAGGTCTAGTTTTTGAAATGAGACACTGGTTCCCAACCTTTAAGTTTAGCAACACGCTTACATTTTTTTGCTCGTAAGGAATGTTTTAGAGGTGAAAAGGGTGTCAGACAGGGTAATCAGTTTGAAGTTGGAAATTTAAGGGGTAATGTTGAATGTAGTCAATGGTTATGCTCCACAAGTAGGGTGTGAGAGATACTGGAGGGAGTTAGATGAGGTGATAGAGAGTATTCCCAGAGGGGAGAGAGTGGTGATTGGGGCAGACTTCAATGGGCATGTTGGTGAGGGGAACAAAGGTGATGAGGAGGTGATGGGCAGGTTTGGTGTCAAGGGAAGGAACCTAGAAGGACAGATGGTGGTAGACTTTGCTAAGAGGACGAACATGGCTGTAGTTAACACCTATTTACAGAAGAGGGAGGAACACAGAGTTACATATAAGAATGGAGGTAGGAGTACGCATGTAGGCTACATTCTATTTAGACAAGGCAATTTGAGAGAGATTAGTGATTGCAAAGTGGTGGTAGGAGAGAGTGTAGCCAGACAGCATCAGATGGTGGTGTGTAGGATGACTCTGGTGGTCAGGAAGAAGAGAGGAAAGACAGAAAAGAAGACTAAATGGTGGAAGTTGCAAAAGGAAGAATGTTGTGAGGAATTCAGAAAGAAATTAAAACAGGCTTTGGGGCAGTCAGGAAGAACTTCCAGATGACTGGGAAACTACAGCAGAAGTGATCAGGGAGACAGGTAGGAAGGTGCTAGGTGTGTCATCTGGAAGGATGAAAGAAGACAAGGAAACGTGGTGGTGGAGCAAGGAAGTACAGGACAGCATTCAGAGGAAGAGGCTAGCTAGAAAGAAGTGGGACATAGAAAGGACTGAAGACAGTAGACAGGATTACAAGAAATTGCAGCATAGAATGAAGAGGGAGGTGGCAACGGCCAAACAGAAAGCATATGATGAGTTGTATGCCAAGTTAGACATGAGGGAAGGTGAGGACTTGTACAGATTAGCGAGATAGAGATGGGAAGGATGTGCAACAGATAAGACTGATGAAAGACAGAGATGGAAAGGTGCTAACAAGTGAGGAGAGTGTGCAGAGAAAATGGGAGGAGTATTTTGAGGAACTGATGAATGAGGGAAATAAGGGGGAGAAGAGGTGAATATTGTAGAGCAGGAAGTAGCAAAGATTAGAAAGGAGGAGGTGAGAAAAGCTCTGAGGAGAATGACGAGTGGAAAGGCTGTTGGTCCAGATGACATACCCGTGGAGGTGTGGAAGTGTCTAGGAGAGACAGCAGTGGCGTTTCTATCTAGTTTGTTCAACAGGACTTTAGAGTGAGAAGACATGCCTGAGGAATGGAGGAGAAGTGTACTAGTGCCGATCTTTAAGAACAAGGGTGATGTGCAGAGTTGTAGCAACTACAGAGGTATAAAGTTGATGAGCCACACAATGAAGGAAAGAGTAGTGGAAGCTAGGCTAAGATAGGAAGTGGATATCTGTGAGTTGCATAAAGTTAATTGGGGCAAGAGTAGAGCATGCCAAGGATAGTTAGGTGGAAACAGATGATTCGCTGTGGCGACCCCTAACAGGAACAGCCGAAAGAGGAAGAAGATGCATATAAAAATACTTAGCTATAATCAAGCTATAGTCGAACACTTTTTCCTCAAAAAAGTTTAGTGAACCTCTCTAATTGGCCTCAACATTTGCCCCTCATTGCAAATTCCAGGATCTATGAATATTCAAATATACGCGAATGTGCCTACAACACCCCCTGTGGCACTTCCTCCACACAGACCAGTGAACTCACTGTATCAGGATGGGATGCAGGATTGAAAACTGAAATGACTTAGCAGTTTGAAAGCTGAAAACTGATTTAGCAGTTTATGTTTGGGCCATTATGTAGCAAAACCGTATAAAAAAAGATAAAATGTAAGTCAAATATGCAAATGTATTTACAGTCTGGCTGAGAGTTTGGCAGTATGTTAGTATCTCTATTTTCACATTTGGACCAAAATGAACTCTAGTAACAGAAGGATCAGGATTATTAGCAGCATGGTTATTTGTTCAGCTACTTCAGTTAGAATACTAATAGTGAACCAAACATAGCGTTTTAATTTGCCCTTAATTTGCCATTAATACCAGTGTTTCTACTACCATCCCATAATGTTTGATAATAACATTATCTTTTCATTTTTTCAGATGATCCAAAATGTAATCTAGTAAAGTTAAGAGAAAGTCAAGAGGTCGCCTTGCTGTATTAGCAGTAGGATAACCTTCAGCATACAGGCTAACAGTTAGTCTTACCATTGAGCTAAATGTAACTGTTAGTAATCCATTCCAACTAGGGTTGCAGCGGTATTTCGTTTTTATGGTAAACCATGGTATGAAAATTGATGGTGATTATACCATGCACATTTGCTTATTACCAGTAATGAAGAAAAAAAATGCAATGCAAGCGCATGTGACCAGGGGCCCGTTTCAAGAAGGAGGTTTAACAAACTCAGAGTTCAAACCTGAACTCTGAGTTGACTTACACAGAGTTGGAAAACTTGGAGTTTTCAGTTTCAGAACAGCTGAAAAGAGTTGGTTTAATCAACTCTGAGTAGTTTGACCCAGAGTTAGGCGCGTGCCACGCGACTATAAAAAGCCCTGAACAATGGAGTGAAGACACTATGAGTCACCATGGCAACAGGACCAAGCCAAAATAGGTCTGCGTTTTTCCCCAACAGAAATGGATGTGCTACTACAAGCATATAGTGACTA